CAGATCAGGGCCGAGCCATTTATCTCTTGATCTGTACTGCTTAGATTCAACCAATTCATTAATTACAGTAGACCCTCACTGTTTGTGGATTCATGATTTCAGTTATTCACTCTCTGATCACATGACACATCTCCACCCTGTTTTTACTCATGTCATGCTATCACTGTAACCATTGTGTCATTAAACTTTAAGTGAAATTGGGTTATTTGACTACTGGGAGGCAGAAGAAACCTATCTCCCAGTATTCATGGATTTTAACATTTGTTGTGATCCCAGGAACAGACATCCCCACAAAGGACAAAGGTTTTCTGTACAGCCATTTGCAGAAAGATAATGAAGGGCCTGGATAGGAGGATCAAAAATACAATGACAGTCTTCCGGCTACAACACTGAACTGATGCAAAAAAACACACAAAAAAAAACCAAACATTTTTCATAGTACTATCCAAATATTCAATGAGCCCCTGGAAAAAAAGACTACACTTTGGGCTCTTCAGCAAAAAAAACCCTTTTTTCCAACTAAGATACATAACCAGAATCAAGTGTGAAGTGCAGTTTTTTTAACAACTACTCATGAGCACATGTCCATTATTTCTAGCACTACCTTAAATACAACCATGAGCCATGCTTTCTAGAACAATCCCATTCAACACTCTGAGATGAATTTTAAGAATGCTCCAGCTCAGTGATTCTCCAAATTAGGGATTGCCCCCCCCCCCATGGATACAAAGCAGCAGGAAAGGGGTGGTCCCCCCCCCCCATGGATACAAAGCAGCAGGAAGGGGTGGTGGTGAAATACTAGGGCCTTAAGGTAGGGTTCTGGAGTCAAATTACTACCTCATAAACCTAGAGCAATGGGTGGGTTGCATGCCTTCTAGCAGAGAACTCTCACTGATGTACTGAATTTGAAGGGGTGACCGTCCCTCCGTTTGTCCCATCTTTTAAATCCGAAGAGCTAATATTTTGTTTTAAAGATCCCCCATGTGATGTTTTGGAAAGATTGTATGTTCTAATGTGTTTTTGTCTTCTTTTACAGCCAGCGCTGAATCAGTGCCCTAGCTCCTCACACACAGAAACAAGGATTTCTGATTAAGGGAATCAAAAGCTCATACCTCATAAAATCTTGTTGGTCTCCAAGGTGCTAAAGGACTCAAATCTAGCCACAAGGATTCCTGAACACTAAGCTGCACGATTTTTCAGCGAGTTAGAGGTCATCCAAGATACATTTTAGGAGTGGAGCTCAAATTTAGAAACTCTGCAAAACACTACTCTAGCTCCAAGCAGTCCTAAATCGTGGCTCATTCATTCAACACCGACATGGCTAGGTTTGGAAATTTAGACACCTTTGACAGGGTGTTTACGTTAACCCGAGCTAACTCCTAACTGCAAAGGCCTGCTGTTTCCTCACATCACACACATCTTTCCCTGAGCTTAGCAAAACGGCAGCCCAGACCACAGCCCAGCAAGCTGCAGCAAGTCAGGACTAAAGCAATCACGCAAGAGGGGGACGCAGAAGGATGACAGCTAAAACGTGCGTTCAGGTGGCCAGGACAAAGAGCCCGTTCATCTCAGTGTTGTCAAGGAACGCCATCCCTGCAGCCCTGCACCACACAGAAAACAGGCAGGAAAACTCAGTGTGATTTGAACAGCTCTTACTTTAGGTAGTTGCCCTGCTATATTAAACAGAAATGCAAAGCTCTTCTTACCACAACGAGGCTCCTGAGGCGTTCCCTTCATAAATAGCATGCAAGGGGCAGCGTTGATCAGTTTCTTGAGCCGCACATTAAGGTCCTCTTTAGCCCCGTCATTGGAACCGGCTGGAACAGACGAGCTAGTGGCATGGCGCTGAACCTTCTTAGTCAATTCAGGCGCATGAGCACCATCTAATCGATCAATCTTTTGGGAATTCTACCAACAGAGAACAGCAGTTCTAGTAAGTGTTACTGCCTTCTGAAAAGTACCTGACACTGAAAATCCTCTTCATCACACCCAAAACATTATACTGCAGGATCTGAAGCAATGCCAGATCAAATTCCCTAAGCTCTTTCATTGTGCAACCTCACTTCAATCAAGCTACTAAAAAAAATGTGAACACAGCAGTAACATGCAGCACTTTAGCTAAGCCAAGCTCTATTTGCAGTGAACTGAAATCTGTTAAAAGCTGTTCTGTTAGAAAGAGAATGACCCGCAAAAGCCTTTTGGACAGTTTAACATAAGGTAAGAAATCAATATGAAAGCAGTTTCATTAGAAGTAACAGAACCGCTTGTGTTTCCCATCAAAATGCTTGTGAGTTTCAGCACAAGAGAACCTCACACGGTTTAAACTAGGCACCTAACCCCAAGGATAACAACAAGACACTCAAAAGTCCTAGCAATCCCAAATAAATTATTCCTCCCCAAAAAAGTTTCCCTTAAACTTACCTTAAAAAACAAGAATGTTGGAACACAAGTAATTTCATATTTCTCAGACACTTCAGGAACAGCTTCAGCTTCCAGCTGTTAAAAAAAAAAGCAAGTCATAAAATATGGTTTTATTTTCATATACTTATTTATGGTTTAGGCTGTGCCAGCTGATCTTGTCTACACTGCTCTTTTCAGTCATGTTAAATGTTTTAAAAGGATTTCTGTGCAAAAGTTTGTGACACATTTGCATTTAAATGAAACTCACAGGGCAGGCTTGTCATCCACTGAGCCTGCAGTGTCAAAACAGGTTCAGAGGTTTTTATTTTGTTGCACATTTCAAAAGATGCCTGGAGGCTGTGAATAAAATTTTTGGTGCACTAGTGACCTAGTAAATTTTCAATCATATGCAGCTACTACTATATTGAAATCCATAAATCACTGACCCCAGTTATGTCATGATTACAGTGCTTATTTTCTGCCCACAGCAATTCTTGCTGTTTGCTCTATTGACTAATTTCAAGAGGCAGTACATCATGACTGACATTTGCAGCCTTCTGCAAATTATGAAGCAAAAAGGGAGTATTTCTTCAATAAACTATTGATGCCTGCTAAATTTGAGCTTTTAACCCCTGCAAGGCTGTTAGGTATTAATATACTATTGATCGAGAGGCCTGGTCAGATAATCAGGTATGAAATGACAGAAAATACAAACAGATTTTCATTCTTTCACATAAAAAGATCAGGTATGGGCGGCTGCACTCGCACAAAATGCCAAGCCATGGTGTGGTGTTATAGGAGCCGCACCTCCGGCTCGTGCTTCTCCCTCCTCCCCCCTTGCTGCTATTCTCCTGCTTGTTCAGGTGGCAAATGCAAACCATTGTTTGCCATCCCAACTGGAATGGCCAACGAGAGCTTGCTTAAATTGGGGAGGAAATTGTAGTGCATGATGGGAAAAATAGAAAAGAGCACAGGAGAGCAGGTTCATTCACACAGCATCCGATCACGACTGGCATTATGTATACTCCCCGTGCGCATTCAAATCTGTGAATCACCACTGACAAGACTGAATAGTTGGGAGAGGGAAGATAAGGATAGTTCAGTCCCCCACCAATAGCCAGGAGGGACCTGGCAACTCTATCTGGCCTGGATGGCCCAGGCAAACCTGGTCTCGTCAGATCAGGGCCAACTCTGGAAAGGACTTGGATGGCCTTCATGGAATACCAGGGCTGGGACGCAGAGGCAGGTAATAGCAAGCCACCTCTCTGAAACAGCCAAGCCCCACTAGGGGTCGCAAGAAGTCAACCATGACTTCCAGGCACACACACACAAAATACAAAAATAATAATAATGAGTCACAGTCTAAAATGGAGAACAACATGAATATCTTAATGCCGACAGCCCAAATAGGCTTCGTGGATATAAAAAAAGCACTGGTTGGGGTGGAGCATCTGAGGCGGCTGTTTCGGAGAAGTAAGATTTTTTTTCCCTTCCCCCCGCTACTTTTATGTCAGCTTTCTGTAAGAGGGGTGTTCATTCTTTGAAACCCCTTCTGCATAATGATTTCCCATTTTTGTTTAATCGTAGTTTCGGTGCCCTGCCTTTCTCCGAACTTAAACGAGGTCAACTTTGCTGCATTAGCCAAGCACCTAAATTGCAGCAGAGTAAAAGTTAATCATTTTCAGCTTTTTGTTTCTTACCACGGTGAATTAGAGCAATGTAAATTAACATTGGTCAATTGGCGAGTTAAATAGAGTTAACTATTTTCAAGTAATGGCCAAGTATTTAGCTATGGGACTCATTCCAGAGGGGTAACCCTGTTAGTCTGTTGCAGAGGAAAAACATTTAGGAGTCTTGTGGCATCTTAAAGAGAAGTCACGTTTTTATTCCAGTGTGACCTTTCATGGGCTAGACCCCACCTTTCAGATGCAATAAATGGATCTTCGCAATGCTGTCATTTTATGTGGGAAATATGAAAAGAAACAGCTGGGTCAGAAAGCATGACATGCAGGAAGTCATGATCAGGAAAAAAACAGAGACCATTCATTAACTTTGCTGAACTAGTTAACACCTCTGGTGAGTCCCAGATTTATATCTCACTATGAGTGTTAACTATCTTAGCAAAACCTGAGGAAATAAAAAACTTTAGCTGTTGTAGATTTTCCGGGCTGTATGGCCATGGTCTTGGCATTGTAGGACCTGACGTTTCCCCAGCAGCTCTGACTGGCATCCTCAGAGGTATAACACAGAAAGATGGAGTACTCGCTGTGTCAAGGTGAGAAGAAAAATGATAGGCAGGTATTATTTATTTTATTTTTAATTTATATCTACTCAGGAAGGTGGGGTAGGGCTGAGTGTTACCTTGTAGGAGTTCCCCAGGCTGTGACATGCAGTTGTGGAGAAGTTTACATTGAGACCAAACAGCGTAGCATTCGTACAAGAATAAAAGAACATGAAAGACTGCATGAATGAGGAATTCAGAACAAATGATCCATAATAATTTCAACACTAATTTTCTTCAAGGATATGTGCACAAACATTAAAATAAATTTTCAGAATGCATTGAGATCTCAACGATATCAGTGGATTCAGAAAGAAAGGCAATATTTTGGTTGCAGTGATTTTTGTTGTCATCCTTAATAAACTTCTGTGGCTGAACCAGGTAAAATTTCCTGTCCTGAAAAACACAAAATGCTCTACATCTTACAATAGCACTACAGATAAGATTAGAATTTCAACAACCAATCCATATACAAAGGAACCTCCTCAGGAAAGCTCCTCCATTAGCATGTCACAGCCTGGGGAACTCCTCAGCTCTACCCCACCTTCCTGAGTAGATATAAATTACCTGCCTACCATTTTTATTCTCATCTTGACACAGAGTACTCCATCTTTCTGTGTTATATCTCTGAGGATGTCAGTCAGAGCTGTGGGCAAAACGTCAGGTCCTGCAATGCCAAGACCATGGCCATACAGCCCAGAAAAACTACAACAACTTTCTGACAACTCCTTACAACTGATTTGAAAGCTCCCCTATGCCACCATCCCAAGATTTTGTGGTTGTTTTATTTGGGAAAAATTTTGAGGGTATTTCGGGTTACTCTTTCTTTTGACTGTGATTTTTGCGAGTGCTTCCCTCTATATTTCTTTGTTTTGCTTTAAGGCAATCTTCCTTTTACAGAACTAAGACCAGTTCACACAGTAAAATCCAGTTGGAAAGTGCATTTAAAGTAGATTGAAAGTGGATTGTTTAGTGTGCGTGATCGTAGTGTCTTTGGTCCTTTTTGCATTTGCCTGCCACTCCAGATTTTTTCAGTGTTTGAGCCGAGGCAATTTAAGTCCACAGCAAAACAGCAACCAAATAACCCGGGGCAACAGCTGACTGAAACCGGGCTGACCACTGAAGGGAGGTAATGTAATGCAGAATGTGGGGAAAAACTGGATCAAAAAGAAGGTTGAATTTGATTTTAGTGCAGAATTGCTTGGAGGGCACCGCGGTGAACATGGATTAAAAGAAGAGTGAAGAAAGGGCCAGAGAGTTTGGTCTTCTGTTACTGCGGCAGATAGATATTATTTTCACATATAGCGCCTCCCAGTGGATATTCAGCATGCTGCCTCCAAACAGCTACAATATTTATGAAAACTAACAATATAATATGCATTTGGGTTTAACAGTGACTTCTTCTGAATAGAGTACCAATAAATAAATAAGAATGCCTATTTGCTTAACCAACGCAATCACTACCTTGATTTAATATCTTAAATTTAATGCACTATCTTAATGCACCTAAAAAAAAACCAGTACAATTATCCTAATCTCAAACCCTGGTAGAAAAATGAATTTAAGATCAAAAGAAGATTTAAGCTTAAAGAAGAAAGAATACTAAATTCAGCAAGATACTTGGCATCCAAAGATATGGCTGGTTTTTCCAAGGTGGGGGTGGAGTTGCACAATTTAGAGCCTTTCACACCTGCTTCTGTCCTCAGTGTCATGGGCCACAGTACCTGCATGCCCACAGACCTCTTGCTACCCCTTACCAGAAATAGCACCTCCTGCCCCTGCACTTTGTACGAGGCCCCCATCATCTCCAGTCTCATGAATCCACTTTCTACTCTCACCTCCTTTATCTATTCTACCAGCTGGGCTCCATTTAGCTTCCAAAAGTCTCTTTACAGCCTATCTTGTCTGCAAACCTAGCCAAAGAGTCCAACCCACAGTCTTTTTCTCATATCGACTTACAGTCAACATTTCTGCAGATGACTGAAGACAGTCTTCACTTAGTCTGGCAGCCTTAGAGATTTTTTAAAAAACAAAAATTTTATTAATGTTTTTGAAGCAGCCTTAGAGATATCCGTTGCCATGAGAATTAACTGGCAGTCCAACTCATCACACACATTCTGTACAGAGTACTAGCCACACAGAAGAGCTTGTGTTGGTGGCTGCAGCAATGGTTGAGGGCAGAACTTTATGCATACAATTCTGTGACTTTTTCTCCCAGACGTAAAAAAAAATCATATGAGCAGAAGAGCTTGTGTTGGTGGCTGCAGCAATGATTGAGGGCAGAACTTTATGCGTACAATTTTGTGACTTCCCCCCCAGACTTAAAAAATATATATATATATGAGCGATGTAGCCATTGTGACTAGAAATGGAAAATCAGCCTAGGAAGAAAAGGGTATATTTATCCTCAGACTGTTTTTATGCTACATGTCACGGGGAGGGTAAAAGATACCAAAAAGAATAATCTATAAAAGTTTATACCGTATAAATCTGAATATTTTACTAGAACCTATTTCACCAATCCACCCCCCATATCTGCCATTCATATATCAACCAAGAAAAAACAGGCTATTTGTTTGGAGAAGCAAAGACTTTCTGATATCCGGCACAGCTCCTAACCTAGAACAGGGAATACAATATGACACCCTTGATAGCGAAAATGTATCTTGCTTGCCCAGCTTCCGGTTTTAGGAAATTTGGAAAATTCGTTAAAAGTTTATTTCCACTTTCCCCAACCTTCATACACATAGCCAGCAATCATGCTACACCATAATGTATTTAGACAGGCTAACTTACTTTCACAAATGTAACCCATGGGTGTTCTTTTGCCAATTCAGCCATGACACTGTTCATTTGAACACACTGAGGAGCCCATGGGGCCCAAAAGTGAACCACCACTAAAGACCTGTGAAAAAAGAGGGAACACACAAAGGTTAAGTATTTTGGAGATTGACAATATGAAATAAATGTTAACTGAAATTGCAATAGTTTCTATTGTTAACGGGTATCTAGCAATAGTTTAGGAAAGACCTTTCTCTGTCTGAGACTTTGGAGAGCTGCAGACAGTTGCAGCCTATGACAAATCCCAGAGTCTCTGCTGAGGTCCTCTATTCAAAGCTGGAGAGCCTAATTCCATTCACTTAGTGGGCTTTCATCCACATTCCATTTACAATCACCAGAAAATCTTCAATTAGCCACTTTTCAAGATACTATGTTCCAGAAGAGTGTCAACCCAGCAGCTCTCCGGATGAGTATAGCAGAAGTCGTGAGCTGAACCGTCCATTTACCTTGTTATCAATGGTAGCCTTTGGCACTCCACAAGGACTCCCTCATGGCTGAATAATCAGTCGCAAAGGTTTTAGACAGAGAAAGTCAGGAAGTATTCTGAGTTTTGCTTTAAAAGTTGTAGAACATCTAAGGAGAGAGGCCCAGGGTATTTGTTCTACTGTGGTCTTTGAGTACAACAGCCCTGATCTAAGACAGAATTATTCACAGTGCTAAGATTCAGTGGGAATCTGTACTTTATATGTGGCTTTGTGGCTTAAAGAACACAATGGAATAGAATGCCAAACTGCCAAAGAGGAGGCACAGAAGCAGCTTTCAGCAGAAAGGCAACATGAGAGGGGAAAGGTTGAGAAGTTCCTCTCCTCCTGCACTGGTCTCCCACTTTTATTTGCAGCACTCTATAGTGTGTTGTTCAGAAAACTCTATGCAGTGTGTAATTCTGTCTTCTTGGTATCTAGAATGGATCACTTAACACACCATCTCTCTGATGTGCTATAAGTTCCCAAAACTTTTTAAAATATGTTTTTGAAGTTACCATAAAAACTACAACAAATTTATCTATACCTTAAAAAAATGTATTGGAGCAAGGTGCGGAAACATAGGCAAACCAAATAATTCAGACAACTTGGAATAAATCTTTGCCCCACTGAAGTCAGTGGCAGTATTCTTAGATGTCAGCTTTCTGCTGCATCCCTCCACCTCTCCCTGAATACAGAGCTGCTGCCACGATCTGTGCAAGTATATTCCTAGGCCGCAAGACTTCCTCAGGGCTAAACTTCCTGCTCAGCAAGGTCAGCGTGCACAGCTCACTCCACTTACACGACAAAAAACAGATCTAAAGAAACACCCAACGAAAGCATTTTCGCACACATACATTCAAGTTCATTTCTGCCTCAAGAGGACGCAGCCAGAGATCTGTAGGGAGCTAAAGTGAAAAGGACTTATTAAACATTTGATTTTTTTTTTCTGAACAGGCCTTAAGTCGTATTAGTAGGAACATCAGAGTTAAGAATTGCATTTCCCAGTGTTCACACAACACAGGCTACTGTTGGGAATAATAATGTCATATAGTGTAAATTTACAGACTTCAATGACTGGCACTAAACTCTGACAACTGAAGCATTCCTTCAGACTGAGTTCTCAGTGCATCTCCTTACCCCTGCTAACTTTGGTTTGCTAGATATCCCTTAAAAACAGAAAAAGAAAAAAGTGGATAGATTTTAATGGGGCAGATTTTTAATCCTTTTATAGTTTTAAAGTTTATTCATTTTATCTTTTGTATTGTTGTTCTTATCAGGTGTTTTTTATATACTCTTAGCTGCCCTTTCAGGGGAAAGGGAGCATGATATATTTTTATTTATTATTATTATTAACAACAACAACAACAACAACAACAACAATAATGTTGGTTTCTATACCGTGCATTTCTACACCCTAAGGAGTCTTAAAGCAACTTACAATTGCCTTCCCTTCCTCTCCCCACAACAGTCACCTTGTGAGGCAGATGGAGTGAGAAAGTTCTGAGAGAACCATGACTGACCCAAGGTCACCCAGCAGGCTTCACGCAGAGGAGTGAAGAATCAAACCCAGTTCTCCAGATTAGACTTTGCCACTCTTAACCACTACACTCTAGCTCCAAAGAACTACAGTTGTACCAGAAGGGCTCCAAAAGCCAATTCTAAGAAGCGGTGGCATGGCCCCTTATCCTCACACATCTGCTAGAACTCTCCACATTTGCCAAATCCCTAAAATACAGAAACTTCTTTCCCCAAATATGTCACTAATGAAGATGGGATACATGCCCTCAGAGAGAAATCTAATCAATGACAGCTGATCTAGAGAATCAAAAGATGGTATCCAGGCAACAGTGTCTTATACTTTTCTGTATGCCACAGTCCTGACATAGCAGAACCTAAGATTACATCTTTTTTAAGACCCACATCAGGGTTTTAACTACACTCTGAAAATAATTGTGTATTCTAAAAAGCTGTGATGGCTTGAGTTAGACAGATTTGGTCCTGGATAGGCAGGGTTTTTCTCCCTCAGGTACACCATACAAGTCACAGGGATCAGAAAGTACAGATGCTCGCCATAATATACAAGTAGTCAGGGCACATCACAGCTCTCCAAGAAAGGAATGACAGTACAAAACAAAGGTAGGTACATCATACATTGTGGGAAACATTTCAGTACACATGTACAGGCATGAACCTACTACTTCACCGTAGTATACAAAGTGGTGATTATCATTCCTTACATTTATAACCACTCCAGCAATTTCAAAAGTGTTTCTTATCAGATCAGGTTTACAGGATTTTTCACTCAGAGTCTGTCTTCGCTACCTCTGTCTTCAGGAAAAAGAGTCATCTTGAGAGGACTCACAGCCAATTATAGAAAAAAAGCCTGGAAGCAGAATACAGTAAGAGTCCCTAAACAAGGCCCTTCCTGCTGCTTAGGTGCCACTCCATGAAAACATGAACTTCTTGCACTCCAGGGGAAAAAAGTAAGTATTTCCTAGAAGCTCAAGTTTGAGTCAGCTGATTTGCAAACTTAACCCTAAGCATGGAGAAGGGCACAATACGCCTGATCTGTATTTCACACATTCATAGACTGGGATCTGGAATCAAAAACATCCCCAGACAAAGCTCAGGCATGCATTAAACCTTGAGAATGTTATTCTCCTTAGAAATGATTAAGCTGCATTAGAATCCCCACACGGGCAAAGACAAAAAGGACATGCAAGACAGCAAGAAGGCTGCCCTTTATTCATCCCAATGACCGGGAGGGAGGGGGGATCAGAAAGTCATGGGAGGAGGATAATTAAACCCGGCGGTAAGTGATCGTGTGCAGGCAGCACCAGTGCGGCCTTGCCAGCATGCCTTGTGCTGCTTCCCGAGGCCGCTGTCTCTTCCTTCTCCTTCCATCAACCCCCAAGGGGTACCCAATGTACAGCGCAACTGTAAACAGGTCAGGGAATAGAAGACCCGACGTACCGGCCGGGCTGCTGCAACAACTGCTGGAACCGATCGGAGGATGCTGCTTCCACCACAGCCGCCGTCGTTCCTCCCGCCTCCGTGGCCGCCATGGCTGGTGCCGATCCTCCTCACCACAACCAAGCGAAGGAAGGGAGACAGGACGATGGTATTGTACCTCTCCGCTTATCTCGTTGCCGACGGCGCCTCATTGCGCATGCTCATCCTCACGTACTTTTTAAAAGCCCTACGCCATCCTCGCGAACGCGTGTTCAAATCTCGCGCATGCGAATTGGGCCTGCAGAGGTGAAGTTTTGTTGTTGTTGTTCCGCCCAGAGTTCTGAATGGGGGTTGCTGTCTCCATAGCCTAGGCATATAACCCTGCCTAGTTTAATGCGATAGACTGCCTTTCCTTTTGTACACCCATTTGGTAGTAAGTCTCATTGCTGGGGCTGCCTTCTTGTAAGGATGCTCAGGAACCCAACCGTTAGCGTGCTTCATCGAGCCTCTTTTGGGAGCGGAGTGAAACCACCGGAAGTTTCATTTACTACTAGGAAAGGAATCCTGCATGCTACAAGTACAAGCTGAGTTCCTTCCTGTAGTAATTTGAAGGGCTCCTCCTCCATACATAAGCATGAATGCTCCTCATTATACCCTCTTTGGCTGTGCGCTACATCGCGGGCCCGTTGTTGGTTTTCGAAATCTTTCGACCTGTTTGCTGGTATATGTGTCTCCCACTTCTAGAAAGACTTTATTTTCAGAGTTTTCTACTAATGTGTGTCTTCGAGTGCGTATCAAATTCCTCGGTTCAGGGTGGCCTGGGGGTTCTCGTTTGATTCTTTCTATATGCAGAAATGATGCTTGATTTGCCTAGTATCAGGCTATCTTGGGTTTATACCAAATTTGCAGATTTGTCAATCTAGAAATACTGCCTTGCAAGCAGGTAAGACTGGCAGTTGCCCTTCACTTGCCATTCTCTCAGCAGTGGCTTTAGTTATGAAACTGACCTGGGTGCCAGAAAGGCTTCCACAGTCATTTTGTAAAATGGATCAAGAGGACGTTTAGAAAAGAGGTTAGAACTGTAACAGAATGGAGCAGCCAAAGAGGCCACTTTTATAATGGAGTAGGACTGTAGTCTGCTGCAGTGATTATTAGGTATCATCTGCTATTAGTGCTTTCTTTTATAATCCACTTTCGGTACTGTTTATAGTTTGTTGCCTTTTGTTGCCTTGGATAGTTTGTTGTTCGCATTGCTTCCTAGTTCTGTAGTCTTAGTCCATTGCATTGTCCATGGGTTGTTTTATGTGCCACCTTCAGCCTCATTGATGAAGGCAGCCTATAAAGTAAAATAAATAAAAAATAAAACCATTTTGTGATGCATTTTGATCCTTCATTTCAAGGGAGCATCCTACTAATGTCCTATTTTCACATTTTTGGTATACTTTGGATTATGTGTATACAAGATTACAGAGGTGCAGTTCAATTGGCTCATAAAGCTCAGACATTTATTATTTTTCATTGCAGCCAGGCCCTATGTTTGTTCAGTAATGTAATTTTTATGGGATATAGTCTCAGATGTGTACATTATATTGTAGCTACACAGGCAGAACTTTCAGTGAGTAAAAGGTGGCTGTGCTGGTACAGGGAACTTGATGTATATGGAAGTTCTCCAGAATACCTTCCTGTAACTTGTGCTGAAAACAGGAATGAGTCCTTTGTTAATAATAGCATAGAGTTTATTTTTGCAGTTGCCTGAACATTGACTTTGATTGAAAAATATATTACTGCATAGTTCATGGCATTTTGCAACACAGGCAGCCTGTGAACAAAATGTGCCATCCCTGGCTGCTGTCCACAAAAGGAACCTACTTATGCTAAAGTAGTAACACTAATACTGTATTATGGGTGGGTTCTCTGGATATTTGAGAAATATAACCGGAAAAACTTTCCCAGTATTAACTTCGCAGGACTGTGGCTTTTCTCCTTTGGCTTTCAAATGGCAGTGGGTTGGAAACATAGAACATCCAATTAAGAACCAAAGGGTTAAGGAAGTCTGAATATAAGGGCCCAACATTTCTGTGAATACACCTGAAACAAAAATATTACCAAATATACAAAAATATACATTTATTACAAATTAAATAAAAACAAATATTGGCCCAAATAATAGCCTCAGTTCAGAATAAAATTCTACATTTTCAGCCCATTAGCCTTCCTTAGTGGTCAAACAATGTTGTTACAGAATAGCTCCAGACATTACAATAATATAATCATTTATTAAAGTTAGACCAAGGTAAAATTGTTTTATAATCATGATCTGGGACCTAAGGCAGGAAGATAAATCAGAGGCCTAATAGGACTATTACATTACTATCTGCTCCAGATTGCATCCAAAAAAATTTTTGACCAGGAGAGAAAGGTGCACAATTCAACCATTATTCAAGGGAAGTGTACCTGATCATGGCAGCGAGCTATCTAGAATGAGGTGTCTGGTTTATATTTCTGCCTTAGGTCACAGATAATTATTATAAAACAATTTCACCTTGGTCTAACTTTAACAAACGATTGTGTTGTAATGTCTGGAACCATTCTGTGACAACGTTGTTTGATCACTGAGGAAGGCCAATGGGCCAAAACATGTTTGGTCAATTATGATCTATCTTTGGGGTTAATGTAGAATTTTATTCTAAACTAAGGGTATTATTTGGGCCAATACTTGTTTCTATTGAATTTGGATTAAATACATGTATATTTTCATATATTTGGTAATATTTATGCTTCAAGTGTATTCACAGAAATAGTGGGCCCTTATATTCAGATTTCCTTAACATTTTGGTTCTTTTGAATTTATTTTGGGATACGTCCCCCTCCCCTTTTAGTTTTTTGAACTGGAACATCCACACACCATCCTCTAACTGTCCACTTTCTAGGCTTTCTTTATCTTTAGTATGTTCTTTCTGTAAAGGTATGATCTTTCTGTAAAGAATGCAGTATAAATGCATCAGCAATGCCACCTGGATGGAAAAATGCATGTTTTCAAAGGTCCCACTCACATTAGTGCCATTTCTCTTCCATCAGCCGCCTCCACCACTGCTATTTCTCTGCCATGCCACTAGGTTTTTTCCCTAATCAGTATTTTTGTTGTTTCACAGGAGGAGTCCTATTGAGAATTTGAGAATTAGCATGTGCGCTTTGCTGCCCAGTTTTTGAAGCCTGGGTGACTGAAGTATAAAGAGATCCTCTGGCACACAGGCAGGGGCAGCAGTCAGGCAAATGGGCAGGTGGGCGGGCAGCGGGTGGGATGGGAAGTTGCCAACTCCGAAATCAACCACATGGCTACTGCCTCAGGTGGCCTCTTTAAGGAGCCAGCCCTGCCTTGGTGCATGAGTACAATTATTTTTGTTTCTATCATCTCACTCCCCAAATCCATTCTTTTCTTGGAGTGGCTCCACAGAAATAAAGGAGATTAATATTCCAGATGAACCAGATTGAGTTTTGCAGGCACTATGTACGTGATGACATATAGTACAAATTTCAACAGCGTTGAAAATGTTAAGTTTCTGTGAACTGCACAGATTACTGCAATGCACCCTTAACTTATTTTAATATCCCATTTCCTTTTCATCTGGGTTCTTCTCTTGTTGATGTATCATGCCTCTTAACATCAAGTTCAAAACTGATTTCAGGATTTGATGCAAAATCAGTTTTACATGACACTGGCACACATGTCAGACAAAGTATATATTGTATGTATTCAATTAAATATTTCTTTTCTGCCCACTAGAACAGCACTCAAACTACTGTTTTCTATTTACACTCCTGCCATCCCATATATTTAAACTGCTTTATGATTCAGCTTCATTGTCTTGACTGGTTACGTACAGTTGGTATATACATTAAGGTGTATGCATTAACACACATTTTGGAAGAAGAGAGTGAAATGAGATGTTACTTTGAAGAGTCCTGTGAGTAAGACGTGTGTAAGAGAAGTAAATTCTGAGGTTCAAACTACGCAGGAAGACCAACTGTGTGATTCCCGCCCCCCAAGTGCAAGACATTCTTCAAAGGACTCTGCTGAGCAGAGGAGTGATGGGATGAAGCCGCTGTCTGACCCTTTCCACAATTTGCTTTAAAATCACCTGGTCCCTCAAGATGCTTATGTGCTCAGGGATTAGGAATAGACAAGATATGGGGCTTCCCATGTTTTGTTGGCTATATAATTTTAGAGTCCTTTGGGCACAAATTAAGTGTTTGTGTTCTATAGTTGGTAATCAGAATCAGGAATCCGCACTTGTACAGCTGGTTTCCTTTGCTGGACTGGGCGTTACGTGTTAATAAATTGCACTGCAATCAATGGGACATTTCTAAGCAGTATGTAGGAACATGGTGTTTAGCAGCTGAGAGAACCAGGATTTCAGTACTGTAACTTTTTTATCCTACCATATCTCTGATCCACAAACCACTTAAGCCCTTATATACTCCATGCCCTTATTCTCATTTAACATGCTAATGACACTATTCAGCAACCAAGCACAAACCTGATGCCACTGAATGTTAAGGATCATCTGGATAGGTGGATGAATCTCCCTACACCAATTATGGAAAGAATACCGCTTCCTAAAATAAATACCCTCCCTAGTCTCTTATATCAACTACAACTGTTTCAGAAAATTTAAAACCTCACACTTTAATAAGCTCCACAAGACCTTTTCAAGGTTCATTTAGTAGGCAAAAAACAAGAATTGTCATTAAAAATGTATAGGCCCATTGAGACATGGGAGAACTAAATCTCCCTAATGTTAGGCTATATTTCTGGGCATCCCATATGGAATATCTGGCAGCAGGGTCCCAGAGAAACCAAGGGCTTCAGTGGCTCCAGATTGAACAACAGGCAGCAGGCCAAATTAATCTGGCAAACCTCCCAGACAGTATAATCCTCCAACCGCTCAGCCAATACAAGCACTACTGAAATGAATGGGGCAGCTCTGTGAGTAGGAAAACCACAGTTTCCAGATGTGCAGGTATTCACCTCAAATTAAAAGGAAACAGATTAGAGAGTCCATATCCAAATCTACGTAAAACACATTAAAGGGGACAAAATATCTTTTGGACCACATGGCCTGTTAGCTACAGTTATATTCTTTAACCAACTACACATGAGTAATCCAACTGGAACACCTGGGATTATATCTTAAAATTTTTTAGGATCATGATTCTTGACTGCAATCCCACTCCCACTTGCCTGG